TTTCCACAATTTTACTACACGGGTTTCTGGTCTCTCGACCGTCTTCAGGTAAAAGGCGGAGATTTTCACATATTATTAAAATAATAATTTTTTCTTTTTCAATGTTAAATATTCTCGATATGAGACATTCTCTGTTTTGTGTTAGTAATCTGAATGTCTTTCTTCACGATATATATATATATATATATATATATATATATATATATATATATGATTTTCATCAACGACGTTACTGATGTCATCAGTTCTCTATGGTAATGACACAATTATTAATTATAAATCTGATCGGTTCAATAATGCCAAATCAGCAGCTGATCTAAAAAATGATCGACAATCTGTTGTTAAATGGAATGGCTTGTTAATTTTAACGCCTCCAAACTACTCTCTTTTAATCCCCTGAGAGAACTTTTTTTGCCTTTCATCAGCATGGCTGATTCTAACCTCAAGGAGAGTGATACATTGCGCTTTCCCATGATAACGTTTTCCGTTGATATAAAATGGAAAGCTTATATTGAATCAATTGATAGATCAGTTCCTTGGAAAAACGATTCACTGTGTAGTGCTAGATATTTTTCTCGTCCAAATTTATCTTGTATATTTATACGTCTACTATTCGTCCATGCTTTGAATATTGCTGCCACATCTGGTCTGCTGCTCCTGTTATATATTTAGAGAGTCTTAATAAAATACAAAGAATCCTCAATTTTATTGTCCTGACATGTCATCTCGGCTTCAGCAACTTTTACACCGCCGTAAAATAGATTCCCTGTGTCTTTTCTATAAATACTTTCATGGTAATTGTTCTGATGCAATTTTCTAAATATTCATTGGGGTTTCATTTTTAAATGTTGTTATTTACTATAAGCAGACAAACTGTACATATGGGAACTAGTTAGAACTACATAGAGACTTTGAGTTATTATGGTGACTGTAGTAATAATGGTAAGAAAGAATGTGTTGTTCTTGTTTAAGGATTACTGTGGTATGTTTGGGTCAGTAATTGTGGTTAGCTAGGTTTAAAATAAGACAGACTCAAGACCATCCTTCCCCCATTACCTCTTTTCGCCTTATGTCACATTTTTGTATTAAGTCAAAATAAATAGTACCTAGACTTTATGAATTTAAACGCAGTACTAGATTGGCGGGAAGGTCTCATCATTTTACAACTGAAATGACTAGATGTAACAGCAAGTTCTATGCTAACAGTTTCTTCTCTCTAACACTTCTCGCTTATGGAACTCACTTCAGGCTTCTTGCTTTCCAATCAACTTTGATCTTCAAAAATGTAAATGCAATGTCAATCGTTATCTTCTTTCTTCTTAATTCCCGTTTTTTTGTAGTTCTAGTTCTATAATGGTGTTTTTTTTCTCTAACACTCAGTAACCCCCTTGCACCTTAGTGACTTTATTACCTTACTTGGTTTGAAATGATTATATATATATATATATATATATATATATATATATATATATATATATAATAGGTGTATACAGAATGAATTCCAGTAACCAACAATTACTATTCTTAAAAAGAGTGCTCAATACAAAGTAGAGCAGATATAAATATTTTTAAAAAATTTATAACATAAATATGTTATGAAATCACTACAAAAAATAGCCATTTGTTTCAAACCCTCGGTGTTTTCTCAAGTGATACACTTGATAAGACACCGAGGGTGTTGAAACAAAATGGCTATATTTTTGTTATAATATATATATATATATATATATATATATATATATATATATATATATATATATATATATATATATATATTAATTTATGCATATATATATATATATATATATATTATACCATGAAGAAGTAATTATACAACGAATTAATTCGCAATGTTAATGTGATTAATGCGGAAACATTTAATGAAACATTAACTTATTATCATTACCTTGAATAACGCGATCCTGATCTTTGAATTGTTGACAGAATGGTCCTGGACCGAGTACTTTCGACAATTTCAAATTGTCATCTTCAGGGCGTAATATTTTCATTTACAGGTAAACACCAAGACGAAATAAATGCAGTGTAGATGAAAAGAGGTTTTTAAAAATATACTTTTTATTGACAGTTATATTATTTTGGAACGTGCGATGCCGTAAGGCTAGACTTTAAATGATTCATGTGAGAAAATTGTTTGAATGTAGTAATATGATAAATCCTAAAATTCTTGTCGTTGAATGTGTTTTTCAGCTAAGTATAGTCCAATTAATAGAGTAAAATGTCTTGTTAGTTCCTCGCCCCAGAATTTTAGATAGTAAGTTAATGTCTCATTAAGTCTGAGTAGCGAAGTAATTTCGCTATTAATCTCAACATTGCTAAGTAATTTTGTATAATTACTTTTTATGATATATATATATATATATATATATATATATATATATATATATATATATATATATATATATATATTTCTAGAGAGAGATATAAATAATATTAGTAGTCAATATTCATACATGTTTCATTAAATAACATAGACAAGTGTTGTTTATTTGTTTTATGTAAATTCTTTTCATGACGTCTAATAAGCTTCATAACATTGGATTAAAAATATGGATCAATATTGTGATTTTTTTTCTTCGTTTAATGATAAGGTTCTTAAGCTTATTAGACATTATGAAAAGATTTACATAAAATAAATAGACAAAACTTGTCTATATTATTTAATGAAACACGTATGAATGAAAAAATGCTTCCTAATACACACAATATATATATATATATATATATATATATATATATATATATAAATTCCCAAGAGATAGAATCCCGGTAGAACTCAAGGTCCAGGACCGAGTAAGAATACAATATAAAATGCCCAAACACTAATATTCCATGGTTATAATTTATTATATTGGAATCGTAATCACGATCCAATTCATCAGAGTTACAAATTCAAAAAGAAATCAGAAAATATATACCCGGGTTATATTTTCCGATTTCTATTTGAATTTGTAGGTCTGATAATGATATAGTCTTAAGATGTGCTATATTTATGGGATAAAGTGCTCAATATCAGAGATAGAGCGTGTGTAAATATAAACGTGAACATAGAAGTCAACACTTAAGTGCGACAGTCTGTTTCATGCGACTTGCAATCGTCAGACCACGAGTGCTGTTATTTTTTTCTCGGCTATTTATATATACACGGGTCAGTGGTGCATTGTGGGTAGTCTATTTTGGCGGTTATTTTACCGGAAGTCGTTTATTTGTTTATTTATCTATTTGGGTTAAATCATTTTGCTTGTTTTTATTTATTTTTATTATTTATTTTTATTTGTTTATTTTTATTTCTTATATATTTATTTATTTAGTTTTTAGTTTTTAATCGGTGTTTATATATATATATATATATATATATATGGTCGTAATTTACTCGTCTCTGTTTTATAATTCTATTTGTTGTGCAACCAGTGAGGAACTTATTCACTACGAATAATCAGCCAGATACACTCGCTGACCCCTAAAGAATTCGGCTATTTACTCTACTCTCTTGTATTTATGCTTGCTTTCACGTCAATCTTGTGGCAAACAGAGAGAGACAAAATCTGTCTCTTGTTGGCGTGCACCCCACCACGCAGGAGAATGATTATATATATATATATATATATATATATATATATATATATATATATATATATATATATATATATGATCATTCTGGGTAAGTTTGCATTTTAAAATTAATAATTACTGGTGTTTATTTACAGAAGCTAGGTTAATTATCCTGTCAGAGTCGTTCTGATTTAAGGGAAGGTTACAATTAATGTTTGTTTTTTGTTTTTTTGGCGGGCCTTGGTTGTCAGCGCATGTCACTTCTGGTGCCGGAAAAGACTATCTCTACAGCGATGATCTTTGTAAGTTCTGTTTTACAAGATTTAATATGCTGGTGTAAGAGAAATTTTCAAAATAAATGATGACGCTATATTTATACAGTTCGACTTATTATTTCCCTCTTGGAGAAAAGACTAAATAATTTTTCAATAAATTATTCCCATGACTATCTTTTTTTTTTTTTCTTCTATTTTGAACACACAAAAAAATCCTAATAGGAAAAAGCCTCACAAATAGCTTGCTCAGTAGATGACTTATGAAAAAATATTTCTTACTTTAATTGTGAAAGTATTTTCATTTTTTATGATGAGGAATTAATTCTTATTGGAATCGAAGTTCAAAGTTCAACAAAATACATTGGAAATGAGTCACTATAAAAATGCATTGTTCCTAGAAATATTCGAACTTATATCCTCATCGTTGTTGTTTTGATCACAAATTTCTTAAGTTAGGAATGCATTGCAAAATAGCTTACAAGAGAAATAGATTGCAAATGAGTTACTATAAAAATGTATTATTTCATGAATTATACAGACTAGTATCCTCATCTTTGTTGTTTTGATCACAAATGCCTTACTATAGGAATGCATTGCAAATAGCATAAAAGGGAAATGAATTGCAAATGAGTTACTATAAAAATGCATTATTTCATGAATTATTCAGATTAGTATCCTCATCTTTGTTGTTTTGATCACAAATGTCTTACTATAGGAATGCATTGCAAATAGCTTACAAGGGAAATGGATTGCAAATGAGTTACTATAAAAATGCATTATTTCATGAATTATTCAGACTAGTATCCTCATCTTTGTTGTTTTGATCACAAATGTCTTACTATAGGAATGCATTGCAAATAGCTTACAAGGGAAATGAATTGCAAATGAGTTACTATAAAAATGCATTATTTCATGAATTATTCAGACTAGTATCCTCATCTTTATTTTTACTGCCAATTGATATTTTCTAAAGATATTTAAATATCTAATTGGGAAAATAACAGAAGAATGCGTAATTGAATTAAACCCTTATTTTCATTTTGGCTGTAACTACAATCATGGCTATATATATATATATATATATATATATATATATATATATATATATATATATATATATATATATATATATGAGCCGAATAGATATGTACAGGCTTAGATAGATAGATAGATAGATAGATAGATAGATAGATAGATAGATAGATAGAAAGAAAAAAAGAAAAGTGAAAGAAAGAAAGGAAAAACATTGAAAGAAAGAAAGAAAAAAGAAAGAAAGAAAACGACAGTCATAGATAGATAGATAGATAGATAGATAGATAGATAGAAAAAGGAAAAGTGAAAGAAAGAATAAAAGAAAGAAAGAAAGAAAGAAAGAAAGAAAAACATAAAAAGAAAGAAAAGAAAGAAAGAAAAAAGAAAACGACAGTCATAGATAGATAGATAGATAGATAGATAGAAAAAAGAAAAGTGAAAGAAAGAAAGAAAAAACATAGAAAGAAAGAAAGAAAAAAGAAAGAAAACTACAGAGATAGATAGATAGATAGATAGATAGATAGATAGATAGATAGATAGATAGAAAAAAAGAAAAGTGAAAGAAAGAAAGAAAGAAAGAAAGAAAGAAAGAAAGAAAGAAAAAATAGAAAGAAACAAAACAACAGTCATAGATAGATAGATAGATAGATAGATAGATAGATAGATATTTTTCATTTCACCACAAGCAAGGCGGGAGTGTCACTGGTAGGAAGAGGGTTACAATGAAGTGAAATTGAGAGAAAAGACTGAGTACAGGAAGGACTGAGAAAATGACAAAAGATGAACGGGATTCAAGACAGAAAATGGCGATTGACGTTGCACTTAAACTTTTGAAGTCCTTTGTTTTCAAGGAAGCAAGTAAACGGAAGGGAGTTTCACGTGCGGGAAGCGTGAGAAAAGAAACTGTTGGAGTAGAAGTGACGGTTATATTTAACTATTTCAACAGTAAAAGGGTGGGACCTAGATGCCAATCTAGTAGAACGGTTAAAATCATATAGTCGTGGCATCAGGGAAAAAAGCTTGTCAGAGGGAAGCCACATTGCGTCTGTGAGAAAGTGACTGAAGTCGAGATGCCAGGTGATGATCGATTACATTGCAGATCCTTCTTTTTATTTTGTCGAGAACCTAGAGATGAATATTAGGGACACCAGACCATATATGGCAATAGTATTCAATGCACGGACGATTGGTAGAAAAATTTTCTGGCGACACAGTGATTCAACTTTCCTTGCATTGGATGCAATTATTGATTCGATGTAGTCATTCAACTTCAAGAGATTTGAAAACGTGAGGCCAGGAAGGCGAAGCGTGTTGCTCTCCAGGAGTCTAGCATCAGACATACTGAAAGGAATGTTTCTCAAGGGATTTTCCAAGCGTAGCTTAGATGTGGCACAAGGCCAAAAGTATGGGCACCCTGTGAAGATCGGACTCACTATACAGTCGTAATTGTTCTTGCTTCTTGCCAGACAAGCTTGCTAACCATTACACCAACCCGAGGTGGCCAAGGAATGTTTCTCTATGGCGGTTTCGTTTTGGAGGTATTAAAATTTGCAAACCATTTTCTGTCGCATTTAACCATTGATTGAACGTCTTTTTCAAGAGCGGCGGCCAGGCTAACGGAGTCAGCTCTCACGAATTTGCTATTGAGACAGGAGTAAATGGTAGTGTCATCTGCCTAAAATGACTACTGGGGAAATGATGACATCATTGATGACGTTCAGAAACAGGGTAGGACTCAGGATAGAGCAGTGTGGGGACAGCCGCGTTCGTGTGAAAGGATCGGGATGCGTGACCGTTCAAAACAACGTTTATTGCATGAGAAGAGACTGAGATAGATAGATAGATAGAAACAAAAAAAGAGACATAGATAGATAGATAGATAGATAGATAGATAGATAGATAGATAGATAGATAGATACAAAAAAAGAGACTGAGATAGATAGATAGATAGATAGATAGATAGATAGATAGATAGATAGATAGAAAAAAAAAAAACTGGGATAGATAGATAGATAGATAGAAATAGATGAGATAGATAGATAGATAGATAGATAGATAGATAGATAGAAACAAAAAGAGACTGGGATGGATAGATAGATAGATAGATAGATAGATAGATAGATAGATAGATAGAAACAAAAAAAGAGACTGAGATAGATAGATAGATAGATAGATAGATAGATAGATAGATAGATAGATAGATAGAAACAAAAAAAGAGACTGGGATAGATAGATAGATAGATAGATAGATAGATAGATAGATAGATAGATAGATAGAAAGAAAAAAAGAGACTGGGGCTGAGATAGATAGATAGATAGATAGATAGATAGATAGATAGATAGATAGATAGAAACAAAAAAGAGAAAGATAGATAGATAGATAGATAGATAGATAGATAGATAGATAGATAGATAGAAAGAAAAAGGGGCTGAGATAGATAGATAGATAGATAGATAGATAGATAGATAGATAGATAGATAGATAGATAGATAGATAGATACAAAAAAAGAGACTGGGATAGATAGATAGATAGATAGATAGATAGATAGATAGATAGATAGATAGAAACAAAAAAAGAGACTGGGATAGATAGATAGATAGATAGATAGATAGATAGATAGATAGATAGAAACAAAAAAGGGGCTGAGATAGATAGATAGATACATAGATAGATAGATAGGACCAGGATTTATAGATACAATAAAATAAAGAAAGAAAGAAATGAACATAGAACGAAAAAAGAAAGAAATTATCTCAGATACATAGAGAGAGATGATCAGATTAGAAGAAAGAAAGAAAAAAAGTAAAGAAACGACCATAAAAGAAAGAGAATAGATAGATAGATAGATAGATAGATAGATAGATAGATAGATAGATAGAGTTATAAACAGACTGGAAAAGAAAGAAAGAAAGAAAGAAAGAAAGAAAGAAAGAAAGAAAGAAAGAAATTGGGATAGATAGATAGATAGATAGATAGATAGATAGATAGATAGATAGATAGATGCTGGCAGTTTATTAGATCACTTCAACCCTCGAGGAGGCACGTACAACAGTGAATGGTTAGTGAAATCAGATCGCAAACCATTGCCCTTGAAAAGGAATCCAAGGCAGAATAAGCCTGCAGGTCAAGTAAAAGGCTTTTTCATCTTAACTTTCAAAACAGACCTTCTTACGTGAACGAGACGCTCAGGCAGAATAGAAACAGGCTGAAAGCCGTGTACACGAACTCGTTTGTACGAACACGTGCCCGACAGTTCGCGTGCTTTTGTGTGTGTGTGTGTCTGTGTCTGTGTCTGTGTGTGTGTGTGTGTGTCTGTGTCTGTGTGTGACAAGTAGTGAGATGCATTATATTGCGAGGAAAGTTATTCTCTCCAGGGATTTAAACAGTTTTATACAACTCGTCGCTTTTTCAAACAGGTCGGTTTTTTGTTTGTTTTTTGGTTTTAGTTTTGTTTTTTGTTTGTTTTTTTAAGTTGTCTCACACATGAACAGAAATAAATTTGAAAAAAAGATTTCTGGATATAATCTAACTTTATTAATTTTCTTTTATTTTAAAAACCTTCTGTCTATTCTTGCTGATGACAATACTTTCTTTCTTCTTTCAGTCCTTTTTCCTGGCTTTCTTTTACTACGCTGTCTTGGAGTTCCTGTACTTTACGTTTTGTGTCAGCCATCAACACAGTGTTATCTATATATTTTTATATTGTTATATTTTCACTGATAATAAATCATGTTATGGAGACCAGAGCCATTAGGATAGTTTCAATGTTCCTTGATATACCCTGTCTTCAGAACTTAAGCGATTATAACTATTCACCATTTCCTGTTCTTCGTAGTCCTTAATAATCTTTTTTTTATCTCTCTTAAATGTTGTTCCGCCATCCATTTATTCAAGCCCAATAAGCACGGTGTGCGTTGTATTCCTCTGTCTTTCTTACCTCAATTTGTCTTGTGAGTATCAGATTTTTCAATCGCTCCTACCTCATTAAGCGCCACAGAAATTTCAACTGTCTCTTCCTGATGTTAAATAAAAGTTTCCTTTTCATTTCAATTTTCTCTAAAACTTCGTCGTTGTTCATATATTCGGTCTATGGTATCCTCAGCATCCTTCTGTAGAAATGTCAACTCTCTCTTCCTGATGTTAAGAATAAGTTTCCTTTTTGTTTCCATTTTCTCTAAAACTTCGTCGTTGCTCACATATTCGGTCCATGGTATCCTCAGCATCCTTCTGTAGACATTTCAACTGTCTCTTCCTGATGTTAAGTATAAGTTTCCTTTTTCTTTCCATTTTCTCTAAAACTTCATCGTTGCTCACATATTCGGTTCATGGTATCCTCAGCATCCTTCTGTAGAAATTTCAACTGTCTCTTCCTGATGTTAAGTATAAGTTTCCTTTTGTTTCAAGTTTTCTCTAAAACTTCGTCGTTACTCATATTCGGTCCATGGTATCCTCAGCATCCTTCTGTAGAAATTTCAACTGTCTCTTCCTGATATTAAGTATAAGTTTCCTTTTGTTTCTATTTTCTCTAAAACTTCGTCGTTGCTCACATATTCGGTCCATGGTATCCTCAGCATCCTTCTGTAGAAATTTCAACTGTCTCTTCCTGATATTAAGTATAAGTTTCTTTTTTTGTTTCTATTTTCTCTAAAACTTCGTCGTTACTCACATATTCGGTCCATGGTATCCTCAGCATCCTTCTGTAGAAATTTCAACTGTCTCTTCCTGATATTAAGTATAAGTTTCCTTTTTGTTTCTATTTTCTCTAAAACTTCGTCGTTACTCACATATTCGGTCCATGGTATCCTCAGCATCCTTCTGTAGAAATTTCAACTGTCTCTTCCTGATGTTAAGTATATGTTTCTTTTTTGTTTCCATTTTCTCTAAAACTTCGTCGTTGCTCACATATTCGGTCCATGGTATCCTCAGCATCCTTCTGTAGAAATTTCAACTGTCTCTTCCTGATATTAAGTATAAGTTTCCTTTTTGTTTCTATTTTCTCTAAAACTTCGTCGTTACTCACATATTCGGTCCATGGTATCCTCAGCATCCTTCTGTAGAAATTTCAACTGTCTCTTCCTGATATTAAGTATAAGTTTCCTTTTTGTTTCTATTTTCTCTAAAACTTCGTCGTTACTCACATATTCGGTCCATGGTATCCTCAGCATCCTTCTGTAGAAATTTCAACTGTCTCTTCCTGATATTAAGTATAAGTTTTCTTTTGTTTCCATTTTCTATAAAACTATGTCGTTGCTCACATATTCGGTCCATGGTATCCTCAGCATCCTTCTGTAGAAATTTCAACTGTCTCTTCCTGATGTTAAGTATATGTTTTTTTTGTTTCTATTTTCTCTAAAACTTCGTCGTTACTCACATATTCGGTCCATGGTATCCTCAGCATCCTTCTGTAGAAATTTCAACTGTCTCTTCCTGATATTAAGTATAAGTTTTCTTTTTGTTTCCATTTTCTATAAAACTATGTCGTTGCTCACATATTCGGTCCATGGTATCCTCAGCATCCTTCTGTAGAAATTTCAACTGTCTCTTCCTGATGTTAAGTATATGTTTCTTTTTGTTTCTATTTTTCTAAAACTTCGTCGTTACTCACATATTCGGTCCATGGTATCCTCAGCATCCTTCTGTAGAAATTTCAACTGTCTCTTCCTGATATTAAGT